CAAACTGAAATCGCTCAACAGATTTGGCTATACATTGCACTCCTTCCTCTCAGCATTTCCATACGATTTTCTGAGTTTCTACTCCCTCGTTCTGTATTGTTTTAACTTCAAACAAAGCAACTGTAAGTGTGATTTGCTACCGAACTTTGTGTTCGCTGAAACACTGGGGTTTGAAGTACCGCTACACTAGTGTGTGATTCGTTCTATCCTGGGAGAAAATAATCCATTACCTTAGGTACTAGGAGGGGATTAAATTCCTTAAGGAAACACTGTGAATTCAGTGGGCTCGAATTAATTACTGTTTCATTACGTTAACTTATATTTTTGCAGAATTATTATTTACAAATACAACAATATTGGCGGAAATAACACAAGTTGCATAGTAGACTTAATCTTTCCTTTTTTGCTATGCTTGTATTCCAGAAACCGTTTTTAGATCTTCAATATCACGAAGATATTTACCAACGATGCCCCCAGAGTTGCTCTCACGCGCAACCCAAACATACACCATTAATTATCTCGATTATATTACAGAATTTCAATCCATCTTCCCATGTTTATCCAAATCAAAAACTTTTACAAATGCTATAATGTTCATGAATCCCACCAAATCCTGTTTAAATTCAACTATGCATACCCGGAGTGACCCATGAAGTTCCACAAAGGATGAACCTTTACGGGATTATTAAATTCTTTCGCAGTCCATTCCTTTTTTAGAATTTTCTACTTTGTACCTATACACTTACTCTGTTAGATTCAACCGAGATACAGGCTACTGTTGCCATTCAGGGCAAAATTATAGCATCATCCTTGCATGTAATCGGCTCTCATTGAGTTGGGGTGGCAGATCATCTTTAGTACTTTTGCGAGGAGATTGTGCTACTATGTTCTATGAATTTAGCTTTTGTTTTCTAGGACTGCAACACCATCAACAATCATATTTACTGACTACTGCTTTAATAGATTGATTCTTTTTTCTAAAAATTTTCCGGAGCTGCCTCTATATTTCAAAAGGAGTCATCCCTAACATCTCGGTTAGAACTCAAGAATGAATAGAATGTGACTCTACTCCATAGGATGTACTGATTAACAATCACTTTCATCTTTCATTTAAAAGACCAAAGTGAATGTCATAGGACATTAATAAACTTGTCATGTAACATGATAAGATGAAGTTTAGCAGTAAATACGCGCACGCAAATACATATCGACACTCATTTTCAACAACCATCCTTTTCTTTGTTGTTTTACCTAAATCAAATTAATCGACATTTTGAAAAATATTAAGCATTTACACCTATTACAGTGAGCGTGAGTCTAATTTAATTTAATATCTTTTCCTAAAGCAATTTTACAAAAAATATGATTCAAGTAAATGCAAGTATATTACATCAGCCGAGAGACTGACAAAAAGTAAAAAAATAAGCTACTCTGTTTTACCTTACCATTCTCTTCTCACCAATCAAATCACATTCTTCCTCATCTAATTTCTTCTCCAAAACTATCGTTCTTCTCTCCGATAAAATCACCAAAGAATACTTTCCTTTTCTTATTTAGATCCTTCTACAACTCTAACACACCCATCATTTTTTCTATAAATATAAAGAATAGAAAGGACTAAAGAGAAAAACGAAGACACTAGAGTGACACAATAATGCAAGCACATAGTTAGAAGGCAAAATGCGAAGAGATAATGTGCACCATTTTGAGTAGATGTGGTGTGATTCCACTAAAGCACTTTTTGAATCGGATGTCCATTCTGATTTGGGAACAGAATAAAAGCACTGCGATGGAAAAAAGAAAAAAAGAAATTTAATACATATACATATGAAGTCAAAGACCAATCAAACATGATGGTTCATACCTTCTGACCTTTCTCACGGTGTGTAATTCAGGCCATGAAGGAAAATTAGGAAACATTGCAAAGTTCAATTTCATAGAGATGTTGCACAATAGTTGGGAAAGATTGGAGAAGAGAATATAATGTTGGGTTGAGGTGAAGTTTTGGTTTGAAATGTAGGACATTAATAAACTTATCATGTAACATGATAAGATGAAGTTTAGCAGTAAATACGCGCACCCAAATGCATATCGACACTCATTTTCAACAATTATCCTTTTCTTTGTTGTTTTACCTAAATCAAATTAATCAACATTTTGAAAAATATTAAGCATTTACACCTATTACAGTGAGCGTGAGTCTAATTTAATTTAATATCTTTTCCTAAAGTAATTTTACAAAAAATATGATTCAAGTAAATGCAAGTATATTACATCAGCCGAGAGACTGACAAAAAGGAAAAAAAATAAGCTACTCTGTTTTACCTTACCATTCTCTTCTCACCAATCAAATCACATTCTTCCTCATCTAATTTCTTCTCTAAAACTATCGTTCTTCTCTCCGATAAAATCACCAAAGGATACTTTCCTTTTCTTATTTAGATCCTTCTACAACTCTAACACACCCATCATTTTTCCTATAAATATAAAGAATAGAAAGGACTAAAGAGAAAAACGAAGACACTGGAGTGACACAATAATGCAAGCACATAGTTAGAAGGCAAAATACGAAGAGATAATGTGCATCATTTTGAGTAGATGTGGTGTGGTTCCACTAAAGCACTTTTTGAATTGAATGTCCATTCTGATTTGGGAACAGAATAAAAGCACTGCGATGAAAAAAAGAAAAAAAAATTTAATACAGATACACATGAAGTCAAAGACCAATCAAACATGATGGTTCATACCTTCTGACTTTTCTCACGGTGTGTAATTCAGGCCATGGAGGAAAATTAGGAAACATTGCAAAGTTCAATTTCATAGAGATGTTGCACAATAGTTGGGAAAGATTGGAGAAGAGAATATAATATTGGGTTGAGGTGAAGTTTTGGTTTGAAACGTTTCTTGAGAAATTTGAAGGACACGCCTTTTCTAAATTGAGTTGTAATGGATTTTTTTATAAAAGTTTTTAGTAATTGAGTTTATTGTGTTTAAATTCCTAAAAAATTGAGATAATAGATAAATACATTTTTTAATCAATAAAAGATGCCACATCACTCCCTCCTTTATAAATATATATAGATTCTTAATTACATAGGTTGCCCTGGATGTGGTTCAAAATTCCCAAGATGCCACTCGTAACGGCTACTTACAGACATGTCAGTTGTTTAAAACTCAGTCCGCCTTCGCCGCTTGTCATAGTAAACATCAACAAACGCCAGATTGTTTCTTGCCTTTTCTCTCTCTCGTACCACTAACTGTGTAGACGCTCCAATCGTTGTACGAAAAAAAAAATGGCAGAAGAGAAGCAGCAGCCCGAGATGGAGGTAGAGAAAGGAGGAGAAAGCGAAGAATGGGAAGATGATGAAGTCTTTTACGAGAGAATCGAAGCCCCAAAGTTCGTCGACTTCACCACTCCCGACCACTACCGCCCCGACGATCGTTACTGGTTCTGCCTCCGTGTTGGTATGCTAATTTTCCTTCTTTTTTATCCACAGTGTTCCGTTATTTTCCTTGCTTAAATTTAATGTTTGGTCCTTAATTGAACTCTGTCTGTTTCCATTTATGAAGCTTTTCTTATTTTTGAGTTTACGATTAGCTGCTATAACTGAGGTTCATAATTTCTTAGATATCAGGAGCTCTGATTCTTGTCCAGAGTTTGACTGCGATTTTGATAATCTAATCTGAATTTTTCTACTCTTTTGTCTTTAACCTAGGTCTAGTTTTACCAGCGAAAGTAAGATGTAAGTAGGAATTTGTGATGCTCTAACTAGTCAACATTGGGGCGGATCCCGAATTTGAACTTTATAGGAGCGGAATGCCACTGAACCTTATGATAATTTCAGTTACTGGGTTCACAATTTAATATTTGTAGACGTTTAGTAAGTTTCTTAACACACATCCAGGTCTGAACCAAAGGTACTTGATTTGGCTGAAACCCTAGCTTTCATTGTATATTTTCCCTATGAGATTGAGAGTTACTTCTGTTGCCCACGTGCACCGTTGATGTTATGTACACAAGTCAGTGGAGATAGAGAGCCATCTTGGATTTTAAGTTAGTTGATGACCACTCCTACTATCTCTTATGCTAATAAGCAGCGGCTAGTAATTTCATTCGGGGTGTTTAAATTTGAAAGAAGTAAAAAAAATCTAATAAAGAGTGTTCAATATATGTTATATACCACTAAAATCTAATATTTTAACTATATATATCGTGTAATTTTTCGATGAGTTGACCACCCTTGGAACTACGTAGCTTCGCCCTTGCTAATAAGTGAGAACTATACATATGCATGTGCGTATATATAGTTAAAATTTTCAAATGTAAGCACCAAATTTGAGCCAAAGGGGTGGATACATGATAACAAAGTTTTATTTCAACTTTAGAAAGCCTAATTTTAGTGGGGAACGAGGGAAAGAGGGTGTGTGTGAGAGAGCTGAGGATTATTTCTGTAACTTCTTAGTTGTTAGGTGGCGGGATGCAAGTTAACAATTTCTAAAACTTTTTAGTTGTCCAAACTCCAAAAGTATGACTTCTGTTCTGTTTCCAGGCTGCGACCAGAAACATGAAGAAGAAATGGACCATGAGAAAATCTACAAGGATTTTGTTCTCCGAGTAAGTTTCTTATATTCAATTTTGCCATCTGAATGTAATGGCTTATGAACCTTTATTCATGTTATACTTAAATTCTAAATGCAATGCTGTCTTCTTTATTCATGTTATACTTAAATTCTAAATGCAATGCTGTCTTCTTTATTCATGTTATACTTAAATTCTAAATGCAATGCTGTCTTCTTTCTACTCTAGGTAATGGCTGCTAGAAGTCCTAATGTAAGACTTCAGAAAGCGCTAAGCAGACGTGCTACAGGGTATAATAGACCAAATAATAGTACTCAAGTTAAATTAATCTCAATCTCTCATTGTTTCCCTATTTGACAGTTGACATAAATTTAATTTTTGTGTTTCAGGAAGAACATAAAATGTCCACTTACAGTGCCAGCAAAATCTTCCAAGTCTAGACTCTCAAAGTTAGCTGCTGTTTCAAACATTTCTTGTAAACTGATTGAAGATAAAGAGAAGATTAGTCATCCATCAAAGCCCACTTCCACTCCAAAAATCAAAGGAAAGCAAGTTGCTGCTAAGTATCTTACTACCCCAAGGAACAAAAAGTGCCTTCCAAATCCAAGTTCCTTTCGTAGTGTGCAAAATCCAAAACCTGCAGCTCTTGCTGTTCCAAAGAATAGGACCATAGCAAAGGCTTTGGTCTTCCACTCCCCGAAGAAAGCCATCAGTTTAAAGAAATCAGTGGAACTACGAACTCCTTTAACTAAATTATGTCAAGGAATCAAGAAGCTAGAGATATCAGATCAAAAGAAGCGTGTATTGGGTTATTCTGAAAAATCCAAGGATACCAAATGTAATCCTGGAGATTCTTTGAGGAACAGAAACCCTCAGAAGGACAAAAGCAAGACGCCGAAGAGTACTGGAAAGTCTCAAACTCGAGTACTAAGCAAAGCCAGACCAGTACACTCAACTAGCATTCAGAACCAAGCTAAATTAGAAAAGAAGTGCCACTCCAAGGAAAAGGCAGAAAATGATTGCAGCAAGTCAGAAGTTGATTTAACATCAAGAGACAGTAACGAAGAGCATGTTGCTGCTTCAAAAAACCATGAAGCGGACATGACAGATAAATTGAGCTGTGATACTGATCAGAGAGGTTTGGTGGGAAATGATCTTCCAAAAAGTCAACCAACAAGTGGAGAGGATCATTGTGGTGGCAATATTGAAAATGGCACAAAAGGAAATTTGGGGACTGAACTAAGTAAGACGGACCACTCTATTTGTTTTCAGACTTCAGAAGGGGCAGGACATCATGGTAGTGAATGCATGGACAGTGATGACAAAGAGAATGTTTCAGTTCCAGATGAGAACAGGTGTGGAACCATATTGCTTATCTTACATGTTTTAATCCAAAATCTCGCAGAGTATCTATATTTTACAAATTATTCGTAACGTTGGTGCTTACGTGTGTCAAATTTGACTGCAGAAGTCTCACCAACAATATAGACCAGGCTGGGGAAAATATTCTTGGTGTGCAGAAGATGCAAAAAGTCATCAAGAAGGTATTTTCTTTTTCTTTTTCTTTTATAGCTCTGCAGCCTTCAAGTGAGATTATTTCTGTGAATGCATCGGTATTGACCACTGCCGTAATATGATTGATGTGTATAGAATGCCCAACCAGCGGCCAAGAATCTAAAAGAAGGTTTGCTTTCCACAAATGCCGGTGCCTCAGGGATGAAGTCCAAGAAGCCAAAGCCTACCAATCCTAAACCTTTCAGACTAAGAACTGATGTAGGTATTCTACCCTTTACATTACTAGATTTTAATAATATCTATTTTAAATGCTTATGACAGAGTAATTGATTTTCAGGAAAGGGGAATTCTTAGGGAAGCTGACCTACAGAGGAAAAAACAGGTAAGTCATATTCAGTTGATCCTTAGGGAAACCATCTTATTTTCGAATTCTGTCACCGTGGTAATTAAATCTTCTCTTGAATATGTTGTTCATCCTATTTAGGGCAATTCAGAATATTCTGACAACGAAAACAGATGCACAGAAGATAATCCTGAAGGCAATGATAGAGATTCAAAGGACTTGCGAAATGATTTATCCGTATGTGCCATGTATCTTGAGGTTTTCTTAATTTTGTTAGTATGTTTCGTTTTTGCCAGAATCAATTGGCTAGAGAGAGGTAGGAATATTTCTGAACCATGTCATATCTTGAAATTTGCAGAAGGATAGTGGGATAAAAAGCCATAAGTCTTCGGAAGGGAAAGGGAGATTGAGGAAATCAAGTATAACACCAGAGAGATCTCATGTTACACAAATAAAAACAGCCAACTTAAGAAATGCTAAATCTCCCATGGCATCATGTTTGAGACAAGATCAGAAACTCACTGTAATACAAGAAGCATCAGCTGATATTTCGAAACCAAAGAAGGTAGGGAAGCTTCATGAAAATGGTGCTGCAGCCATGCCCCGAGCTAAAGCCTTGAAGCCTTCCAGAATGTTATCTCGTGGAAGAAGGCCTCTGACAATCCCAAAGGAGCCACACTTCCACAGCACCCACCGGCCCAAAAGTTGCAGAAAAAACTTAGCAGAACAAGTGCCCTTGTAAAGTTCGAAGCAAATTCAATTAATTCTCGAGTTGTTGTATGTACACTTCAAATGATTCATTTGAGTCGAATTTTTTTTTTTTCCCACCTTCTCCAACATTACAGCTCCTATTTCACTGAAAATGTGAGGAGAAGGTTTGCAACACATATTGTATCTGTAATTTGAATCCCAGTGACATCCTGCGGATAATCTTCATATATTCCCTAATGAACAAATTTCAAAGGCCAATGGTAAATTTGAGTTTTACCAAATGGACAACATTCTCTAGTTCTGACTCGAGTTGTAGAACCAGAAACTTAAGTCCTGTTTGGCCATAGATTTTGCCAAGTTTTTTTTTCAAAATATTTTTGGCAAAATCTGTTTGTTTATAGATTTTATTCATATTTTGGCAGGTTTTGAAAACAAAATTTTCAAATCCCAAAACTAGCTCTAGACATGTTTTTGGCTCAAAATATTACCGTTGGATTTTTTAACAATTTAAAAAATTACCCCTAACTTTTGTATCTTATACAAAAGTCCACCATCTATTATTATGACTCAACTAATCCACCACCTAGTTACTATCATTTTTTTTTGGACGGATGTATCTTGTAATATTATTGCAATTTGACGAATTGTAATAGCTAGTAGTTGTGTTATATTAGCAGTTGATATTGAAATATTAGGTTGTGGTTTTAGGATAGTGTATTATATAGTTCGTTATAAAAATAATAATTTTGTGCTAAGCTTATCTATGTTCAGGACAACAATTTGTGATAATGATAATGAATGGTATCGATGAAGGTTCTGCATATACAGGATTAGCAAGATTGTTTGTTTGGTATTGTTGGGTATTTTTGATAGTTTTTAGAACTTATGGGTATAAGTCACGTTTCATGTTTTTTCACAAAAAAAAAGTGAAATATGTTTTGAAAAACGATGTCCAAACAAATTTTCATTTAGAAACCAAAATTCACCAAAATCAGATTTTTTTAAAACAAAATTTGAAATCTATGGCCAAACGCTAGCTTAATGGCTTGAGTTCTCCCCAGATAAAATAGCCAGTTCAAAATAAAATGAACCAAGAAGGCAAATTAAGCAGCTTCAACTGATTCAAAATATACACCATTTTCAAGCAGCCGAGAGAAAAAAATTATGTAAGCCGTGTGAGCTATAACAGTACGAGGAGACGTAATACAAAATGTTGGTCTTGTTTTTGGTTTTCTAAGACTTTGTGCCTCAGTCAAATTATACTTCCAAATAAAGCGAAGCATAAAGGTGTAACCAGAAAACAGAATAAATATATAAAAAAAATATAATAATATCTCCTAATTTTACTCAATTTCGGAAACGTGTATTACTAGTACTTTCACATTATTAGTCCAGTCCTAATTAAAACGTGTTTAGTCCTTCAAATATTTACACCTATTTTCAAATTAATGTGCTCCTAAATCCAAGGGCGGCTCCATAAATTTAATGGCCTAAAGCCAAATTTTACTCCCAAACAAAGTGAAGCATAAAGGTGTAACTAGAAAACGGAATAAATATAGAAAAAGAATATAATAATGTCTCCTAATTTTACTCAATTTCGGAATTACTAGTACTTTCACATTATTAGTCCATTCCGAATTAAAACGTGTTTAGTCCTTCAAATGTTTACGCCTATTTCCAAATTAATGTGCTCCTAAACCCAAGGGCGGCTCCTTAAAATTAGTGGCCTAAAGCCAAATTTTAATAAGAGGCCTTGTACTTTTTTTATTAGTACGTATACACACATATATGCAAAAAAATTAATCTTGCCATTTTTTTCATACTTGTTGTTTATAGTATATATTCTTAAATGACATAAAGTTTTTAACTTCACATAATAATACTATTATTTATATTAGAAAAGGATAATATAAATAAATGAGATGTTAGACATGTATTTGCACTATGTTACCTTTGATATTGTTGTAAAAATATATATTTAATAATATGAAGATTTAAGTAGTTTAATTCAAAGATTTAAAAATATTTTTATTGTTAAAGAGTAGACACCTTTCTTTCTTTTTTACAAATTTTTTGTACTTTTTTATTTTTTCTACAAACATTAATATTGTCTAATTTGAAATAAAACTATAACATTCATTATTAAAAATTTTGAGGTAACTAAATCAAGGCTTTACTAGTCTCCTACTAGAGTCACTTGTCCACGCCTGATATTCTCAATCAAATTTATAGAGTCTCACTTAAGATAAGACAACAATGGCAAGAACATTAAAGGCAGTGTGTGTGTCATTTAGTTACCAAATGTGAATGAAGCTGGTTGAACAGTACGTTCATGGTGGGGCAGTAGTCTGTAAATAATTGTTGATCGTCAATGAAGGGCGGCTCAACAGAACTGGTGGCCTAAAATCAAAATATATTAAAAAAACCTTGAAACGTCTTTTAGGAAATCCATATTATATTGAGATACAAAAAAAACCTACATAACTTTGATATAGTGGTGAGAGCGCAACTCATGATGTATGAGTTAGGCGCACGTCATATGGTATTGAATTCTTCCATTAAGTGAAATTGGTAAAGGATGAGCCCATTATCTATCGTGTTTTGAACCTTGCGACATTTGTCTCGGGAATTTCTTAGTTAAAAAAGATGAGACACAAAAGAACTTGCTTTCTGGTGTGTGGATCAATCAAATGTGACAAAAAAAAGAAGAAGTTAATTTAGAGTATTTGAGTTGAAATTAGAAAGTAAAATCGTGAGAACCATGAAAAAAGACTATATATAAAGGAAGAAAAATAAAATTAATGAGAAGGTAAATATATTATTTAATTTAGTTAGAAAAATTTATCCAATTATCTCACTCAATCTTAGGTCTACCAAATATAAATTATTAAAAATTATTAAAATTTAAAATCTTTTATTAATAATTATATAAATATTAATTATGGAGTATATGTTATTATATTATATAATAATATAATAGCGCTTCTTATTTTTGGGGCCTTAATTATTAGCAAGGGCTTCACTTGCCTAAACCTAAAATAACTAGGAAAACAAAAACAAGTACCAAGCAAATCTATAAAAAGGGTGAACGGAAAAACCAAAGTACCAAACTTTAAACTTTAAACTTTAACCCACCGTTTTCATCTCTGTGACCTTAACAAAGGCAATGGAGAGATATTCATTGAGGAAAAGAGAAGATACATCAGTTGAATACGAGAGGATGAGTTGGGATGCTCTTAGGAAGAGTATCAATGGATTGATGAATAAGGTGAACGCAGTCAACGTTAAAAACGTTATCCCTGAATTGTTTTCTGAAAATTTAATTCGAGGTAGAGGCTTATTTTGCAGGTACATTATCAAATCCCAAATCGCTTCTCCAATTTTCACTGACGTTTACGCTGCTGTAGTTGCTGTTGTTAACAGCAAAATCCCAATAATCGGAGATCTTTTGCTAAGAAGAATTATACTGCAACTGAAAAAACCTTCCAATAAGCCACAGTTATTAGCATCTGTCAAGTTTATCGCTCATCTTGTGAATCAGCAAGTCGTTCACGAACTTATTGCTTTGCAATTACTTACAGTTTTTCTGGAGAAACCAACTGAAGAGAGTGTTGAGGTTGCGGTTAGTTTTGTTACTGAATGCGGTTCAGTTCTTCAGGATTTCTGTCCCTTAGGGTTACACGCTATTTTTGAGCGGTTTAGAGATATACTTCATGAAGGAAAAATAGATAAAAGGATTCAGTTCTTAATTGAAAACCTTTTTGCTTTGAGAAAAGCCAAGTTTCAGGGATACCCTTCTGTTCGTCCTGAACTTGACCTTGTTGAGCTAGAAGATCAATTAACACATGAAATTTCTCTCTCAGATAAAGTAGATGCGGAAATTGCTTTGGATGTTTTCAAGCCGGATCCTAATTTTGCAGAAAACGAAAAAAAATATGAAGAATTAAAGAAGATGATACTAGGTGAAGAATCTGTGGAAGAAGAAGATTCTGATGCAGAATCAGACGAAGAGGATGACGAGGAGAAAACGGAAATAAAAGATGAGACAGAAACAAACTTGATCAATCTTCGTAGGACGATTTACCAGACGATTATGTCAAGTGTTACTTTTGAAGAAGCAGGGCATAAGCTAATGAAATTAAGACTAGAGCCTGGTCAGGAGATGGAATTATGTGTAATGTTATTGGAGTGTTGCGGTCAAGAGCGGACTTATCTCCGTTACTATGGGCATTTGGGTCAGCGTTTTTGTATGATCAACAAAGTTTACCAGGAGAACTTTGATAAATGTTTTGTGCAGCAGTACTCCATGATTCACCGTCTTGAAACTAATAAACTGCGCAATGTGGCTAAGTTTTTCACTCATTTGCTCGCTACTGATGCATTGCCTTGGCATGTTTTGGCTTATATAAGGTTGACGGAAGAGGACACTACGTCTTCTTCTCGTATATTTATCAAGATCCTATTCCAGGAGTTGGCTGAGCAGCTTGGCATCCGTTTGATGAATGAACGTCTTAATGATCCCACTATGCAACAGTCTTTTGAGTCAATATTTCCAAAGGATAATCCGAAAAATACTAGGTTTGCAATCAACTTCTTCACTTCCATTGGTCTAGGTGGGATAACTGAAAATCTGCGAGAGTGTTTAAAGAACATGCCAAGGCTTATCATGCAAGAACAAAAGTCTGTCTCTAAATCAGGTGAATATGAGAGTTCAAGCTCTGTTTCAGAATCTGAGTTCTGAATCAGAGTCAGATAGTGATAGTGAAAGTGATGATCGCCGAAGGAAGAGGAGGAGAAGAAGTTAAGGATTTCAGATTGACAAATTGTTTCAAGTCTGATACTATAGTTATGTTTTTTGTATTTCATTTCAATTTGTTTCTGTTGTCTGATATTCGAATTTGACCAAACACTAGTTACGCTGGTGTTGTTATCAGAGAAGACTGTACAATGTAAGTCGTTAATGCTAATTCATGCTATAAATTCTGGAAAAAATTAGCTATGAGTATATACTTGTTTTAATATGATTCTTAAACTCCTTACACATGCCAACAACAGTTGCCCTAGTTGAGTTATTTAGAATAGATTTCCGTTGATCAGTATGTCTGCTCCCGGTGTTGGTTTCTCATAGACCAATTGTCTTTATTGCATTTTTCTCATAGCATTTGATCATAAAAGCAAAATTCTTTGTTGTTCTTGTGGGCAGAACCTTGTCAAGAGGTGTGATGTTATAGAATGTGATGCACTGGTTGTTGTTGGAGTTCACAGACCAGTAAGTTAAATCGAATTTTCTTTGTTTTGATCATGTCCATACTTCATTGTAAGCATTCTAGATGTAGTGCAGCACTGCAAAAGAGTTGTACACCTTTGATGTGACTCATAATGGGAAAATGAGGTGAAATAATCATATTGATCAAAGTGATTTTAGGTCTTTCTTGGTCTTTTAAAAAAACTTTTTTCTATGTGATTTAGGTCTACCTCTTCCATTCTTAGCAACTCTCAACCACCATAGCATTGCACCAACAGATCAGCTGGCCTCATAACCATTCTATAGAATTTGACTTTTTCTTTTGTTAGGTATAATTCCATCGTTTAACACTTCCATAGACACTTATATTACATCTTTATCCATCAAATCATTCTGCTAGAAGACTAAGTAAAGCAATCTAGCCATTTAGTCATTAAAAACAAGCACAAACTTGTTGCCCAAGATGTCAACTACCTTGGAGGCTACGGTTTCTGGTGCTCTTTTTTTACAATATAAAAAAACAGCAGGAACATGGGAGCAAGCTAACATTAAAACGAGCATATTTTAAGTTCTAGAGTCATCCTTTTCATCCATTATCCAAACATGGGTCGCCAAATAAAGAAGAAGCTTGTCAAACCTCAAGAAAAGGTTAAAAGCTTTGTACAGCCATGGCCAGATCTCCCTCAACAACTCCTCAACATTATTGGAAGGCAAGATTCTGATAAACCTGATCTAATGCAAAACATCAGTTTCCACGGTATTACCAAAACATGTAGAGCAGCACCTAAGCGATGTAGTGCCAATGCACGATTACCATGGCTTGAAATTTCCGACAAAGATTACTACCAGTCCAAGACTCAGGAACATATTCTCAGCATCTCGTTTCGACCAGTATATTGGTGGTACAATAGAAAATGGCATGATCGTTGGAACCATTACCATGGCTGTTCATATGGGTTGATTGTCGGTGGAGGGAAGGATCCTGCAGAGTACTGTCTCTTTAGTCCTGCTGCAAGATCCTTTGACAGATGTTGGAGTATTCCCCCTTGGGATGCCAGAATTCCATTCAAGTTTGCAACTCTGTCTTCATCTCCTTTCAACAATTACAAGGGCTGTTCTGTGATGGTGTTAACAGGTTGTTCCAATCCAGCTTTCCTGGTTTCTCATGTAGGATACCAGAATACATGGATAAAACAAACAAGCAGTCTTGTCGATCCAAATTGTTCAAAAAGACAACTTATGATACTTACTAAAGCCATCGGCTTTGAAGGGAAGTTTTATGCATTGAGTTTGCAGGGTACTTTAGCAGTAATTGAAGAAATTGAATCCAAGTTTCAAGTTACTAAATTAAGCAGAAGCCGAGCTGTTCCATCAGTTTTCTCAAAACACTTCACAGAGTATCTTCTTGAATCCAATGGAGAGATCTTGTTAATTTTCCTGATATCAGAACAATCAACTAAGAAGGTGGACAAAGTTGAAGTATACAAGCTCCAGATAGATGATCTATCATTGTTAAAGTTGGACAACCTTGGAAATAGAACAATATTTGCAGGGACTAATTGCTGTATGTCAGTTAATGCAATTCAACTGGGCTGCAAAAGCAACTGTGTCTATTTTAATGAGGATGCGACTAACACTTGGCAGTTTTATGAAATGGAAAGTGCCAGTATTTTGCCATGTTTTGATCACTATGATTCTGAAACAAAAAGTCCAGTATGGGAAGAGCCAGTAGTGGAAAATAATTGCTTGTGAGAAGAAAAAAGTGTCAGATTCAGTTTTCACTAGTTTATGCTGTATAAGCATGCTGATGTGAGCACCACCTATTCTATTCAACTTAGTCTACCTATAGTGAATACTCAATCTATACAAAAGAAATTCCTTCAAATGCCACTTGATCTCTACTACTAGTCCTACGTTTTGTATATATCCAACTGATCAACAAAACCATAACTTATAAAATAACTTCTGAAAGCTACTTATTCAATCAAAGGGAAGGTTCATTCAAGAAGTCAACTATGTTAATTCTTGGAGTCTTAGATTTTAAATGCTTTTTTGGATGGTCAGTCAAGCTCCAGAATTAGTCATAATTCCATCTTCTTTGTTACTGTGAAGCTAACAATTCCGCTAAGAACATGCCTATTCATATATAAAATAAAATTAACTGCGCAGTTTCTCTAAGTAGTTTGGTTGTGAAATACATTACTTCCACTTGCTAATGCAGAAGCAGATTTTATTAATGTTAACTGGAAAAACTTTTGACAGCCGGCAGTTTCTTTCTTCAATTGTCTCATATGTACAGTAAGCATTCTTTGCAAGCTCGCAACAGAATTCAACATTTAGCACAATTCGTCTTCTCTCAACAAAAACTCAAAACTCATGATATTAGCATCAATTCTTGCCATTAGTTTGCAACTCCTTGTTACTGCCATCCACATTCAGTGAATTCACAACTACACTTGTCAGCTTACAAGGCTCGGCCTCTTCTAGCATATGAACTACCATCCTCATGGATGGTCTTAGTGCTGGCGTTCTAGCTGTGCAATGAACTGCAATTCTAAGAACTTCGACAGCATCTTTCTTGAAGCCCTCCAAAATGCTTGAATCCACCAAGTCAATCATGCTAGTTTTGTTTCTTATCTTGCTACATACCCACTGGACTATGTCATTGTTCTCCCCGTACTCCTCTGCATCCACCGGCTTCTTTCCAGTCACCAATTCCATTAGTACAACCCCGAAGCTGTAGACATCACTCTTCTCAGTCACCTTGGTTGTGTAAGCATACTCTTTTGTCCCAAACAATAAAGAAAAGAACAAAAATTAAAAACTTGCCAAAAATTGTTTTCAGGTAAAAATGACATGAAAAGAGAAAAATATGTACCAGGAGCAATGTAGCCATGTGTCCCAGCTACAACATGAGAAGAGTCTTTAGTACCATTGACCTGCAAAACCTTAGCTAGTCCAAAATCAGCAATTTTGGGCTTCATCTTTTCATCCAACAAGATGTTGCTAGACTTGACATCACGGTGCATAACGGGTCTGTCATACCCGTGATGCAGATACTCCAGCCCCCGAGCAGCACCTAATGCAATGTCATATCGCACCAACCAATCCATCTTGACTTTCTGTGACGTGTGCAATTTGTCCCATAAGCTTCCATTAGGTAAGTATTCGTAAACCAACAGATTTGAGTCCTCACTTGTGATGCTACAATACAATTTGACAACATTGACATGCCTAATGGAGCTTAATGTGGTCACCTCAGCATCATACTCCTTTGATCTGCCATTCCCCTTTGCCAGTATAGCTGAGCTGCTCCGGTAACTTTTCTCATCACTAGAAACAGATTTCAAAATGTGTTTCACAGCTAAATGTTTTCCACAATTCAAGACTACTTTGTACACATTCCCTGAACCACCTCTACCAATCAAATTTTCTTGCTTCAATGCATTTAAAACTTGATCTTCACTAAAGCTCAATACATGAAACTGTTTGATATCCCAAGAATCAAGTCTCTTTACAGGAATATCCTGGTTATTGTGCTTAAACTTCACACATGCGAAACATGTAAGTGAAAGAACCAGAATAACCACACCAGCTATCAAGCACAATATGACTGTTCTGTGATCTTTAGATGTGTGAGAATCTGATAAACATGGCCTGAGACTACCGAAATTCTCACTACAAAGGTCTGGATTTCTCAAAAAGCTATTACTAAAAGCTTTTATTGATAAAGAATTCGGTATGCTACCACTCAACCTATTGTTCGACAAATCAAGAAGGCTTAATCTTAACGACGAAAGGGTCACTGGAATTCGACCTGAGAGCATGTTATCAGATATATTGAGAGAGTTCAAGTTTGGCAAAGAGCCAAGACTTGCAGGAATTTCACCAGAAAGCGAATTTCCAGCAAGATTAATTTCATTTAGAGAAACACATGATCCGATTGAATCTGGAAGATTTCCAGTAAACAAATTATACTCTAAATGAAGACTATTAAGTTTCTTAAGTTCACCTATTTTTGCTGGAATTTCACCAGAGAACTGATTCGAGCTCAGATTGATGGCTACTAATGAAGAAACTTCTGATATTCTCTGTGGTAATTGACCATTGAACCGATTGTTGGCAAGAAACAACTGTGCTAAAGAATTAGCTTCACCAATATTTGATGTCACTGGACCTTCAAATAAATTCAATCTGAGATCAATGATGAGTAAATCTGGCAAACTCCAAATTCCACTAGGGACTACTCCTGAAAGTGAATTGTTGCTAACCCGTAAACGCTGCAACGGCAAGCAGTTAGCATAATTTGAAGGTATCCCACCAGTGAACTTGTTCTGGAGCAGTAAAAGATCAGTCATTTTCCCTTTCTTGCACATATCAGGTGGTATTGGACCAGTCAACAAATTTTCTGAAACATCAATGTATAGAAAGTCTGCCCATGATCCAATCTTTTGAGGAAGCGAACCAGATAACTTGTTGGTATACAATGACAATTCTGTTAGAAACTTGAAATCTCCAAATTCAATAGGAATCTCACCGGAAAACTGGTTCTCAAACAGTTGCAAAGATTCAAGAAGA